ACACACACACACACACCTGTCTCTTATACACATCTAGATGTGTATAAGAGACAGACCCCACCTAGTCCTTTGACACCCTAACATGCACAACCTTACCACAAGCAAGTATGCTGCTGTTCAGAAAGTGTGTTTAAAGTTTAAGCACAGGGAGGTTAAAATCACCTGTATCGCTCTTGCAGATATTGCTAATTCGCGCAATGGCCGCTGTCGGACGGAATCGGCAGCCTTGTAGACAGGAGTGAAAAACAGCAAGAGGAAAGCAACCATTGCCAATGCATGTACAAGCCACGCGGGCGGCACAGTTGAGTATGGCTTTTGCTGCATATCGTTGACGTCAATGTTGTCAGAGAGAATTTGCTTTGCAGCTGACCCCATCACTCTATCATGCCTTGTCTTCTTCCTTGATAACTTCCATAGCTGCCATAGCTGCTGCTTCCAGGATTGAAGAAGGACCTGGCTACGAGCTTGAAGTTGCCCAAGCCGCAAGTATGAACGTAACAGTAACAGCCCTGCTGCAGCAGCAAAGATCAATGAGCCGCATACATGCAAGCCCCCCTCCTTTATTGCTCGGCCAATGTAGGCTGTCTGCTCAATGGATAAAGGGAGAGATGGAAAAAGGCACAAGAAAAGCACCGGAAACGGCGGAAAGACAAAAAGATTACACAAAATGGGCCGTTCCAAATGTGTTTTCAAATTTTCAGAGAGTCCTTTGGGAGAAGATTACCATGACCCCTGCACGAGGATGACACACCATTCGAGAAATCGTACAAACTACACACAAAAGAAAAAGGAAAAAACACCTACGCACTTCGGAGCGAGATTCAAGGGAAGTTGTTGCAAACAGTCTGGGTCTTCTCAGGGATCCGAAATGTGGACACACTCTGGGAACTTCATGACATGCAATCATCTTAAGGGGGGTACGGCAGGGTACTATCTAATTTCTAAGGGAAGGGATCAGGTTCAAGCATCACAATGGGACCCATGTCCTGTGGTATATATGGCGTGCATCGCACCGCGATCACCCTTCGGGAACTGGCTGTGTGATAAGGACGCTTATTGGGTAAATATGACGGGACGCGGTCATCGGCTTAGGACTAGAAAGCATCGAATTATAGAGACGGAAACCTCTCCTAAGTCTCTGTCCCTAAGTGCAGGGACATAGACTTAGAGGCAGGCAAGCACACAACCATACTCCTATCATCAGGAGCGGAGGGCACACAGACACACGAAAACACAGCAAGATGGACTCAGACTCGGAAATCTCAACGAAGTTGAACAAACAGACCAAAGACCGCAAATTTTTTCACAAAATCAGTGTTGCACACCCTGACGGTCGGCGGCCCTGACTGGTCGGATGCCGACCAGCCCACCGGTCGGCTGGTCAGCACCTGCCGGTCGGGGGTCGTCGGCACCCCACAAAAGAAAAAAAAAAAACATCAACACCCCCATTTTTTTTGTTTTGGTGCCCTGCCAGGGAGGCATGGCGTAGTCCATGGGCTGCTGACATTTTTTGGAGGAGGGCATGCCCACAGTACTACTTTGCAGAATGTATGAACCCGCTTTCTCGCCCCAAGTTCAGTTTCATAACTTTCTTTTTTTTTTTGCCTTTTCCTTCTTCCGTGGGACCTGACACCCCTGTCTCTTATACACATCTAGATGTGTATAAGAGACAGACACACGCCCGCGCACACACACACACACACACACACACACACACACACACACACACACGCACACACACCCGCACACACACACACACACACGCGCGCGCGCGCGTCAATTGAGGAAAAAAGGAAGACGAAACACACGCGCGCCTATTGAGGAAAAAAGGAAGACGAAACACACCGTCGAGGGCTGGGCGCCAAGAAGGGAGAAAGGAGGGACCGAGTGAGGGAGGGCGGAGGGAGGGCGGAGGGAGAAGGAAGGGTCGCGGGTGGACGGAGGGAAGGAGGGAGGAAGGGTCAAGGGAGGAAAGAGGGAGGGAGAACTGAGGGCCGTGGGAGGAGAAATGGCCGAGGAAGGAAGGAACGAGATAGGAGGGAGGGCCAACGGCCGAGGGAGGAGGTAGGGAGGAGGGCAGGCAGAGGACGAGAGGAGAAAGAAAGCGGAGGGAGGAGGGAGGGCGGACGGAGGGCCGCGTTGAGGAGGGAGTCAGGCGGAGATTAGGCGGAGATCGGACGGACGAAAGGAGTGAGGTTGGAGGGAGGGAGGAGGTAAGAGAAATGGAGACCCACTTGAGTTAGCCATGCCTACGGTCCTCCAGCCGACAACGATCAACCGACAATGTGCAAGCCTTCGGCGACGATTTAGCACAGCCGTCGGAGTTCCACAGAAGTACACAGCGCCTCAAAGTACACAAATATTTTCTCCCGCAAAACCTTTTGCTCTATCTAACAGTCCTCTACGCATTTGCAATCCTGTAACAACAGTGCTACGTAGGACAGGAAAATTCTTGTGCCACCAAGCTCACGAAGTTGTAGCACCAAACGCACGAAGCACGGAGCACCAAGCTCACGAATCACGTAGAACCACACCAGATTTACGTTGCCAGCACCGATGCAAGTAGGACCTAGCACGCCGCACGTGAAACATATACGAAGCACCAAGTTCACGAAAGCACGTAGCACGAATTCCACGAAGCACCAAGCACCAAGCACGTAAACAAGAGTAACGGGGGGGGGGGGGGGGAGAGAGAGAGAGAGAGAGAGAGAGAGAGAGAGAGAGAGAGAGAGAGAGAGAGAGAGAGAGAGAGAGACCGTAGCACCTCGTAGCACCGAAGAACGAAGCACCAAAGCATGAAGCCCGCAGCACCGGTTCATGTGTGTGTGTGTGTGTGTGTGTGTGTGTGTGTGTGTGAGAGAGAGAGAGAGAGAGAGAGAGAGAGACAGAGAGAGACAGAGAGACAGAGAGAGAGAGAGAGAGAGAGAGAGAGAGAGAGAGAGAGAGACACCTGGATACGGCTACGGTAGCGCCACGGGAGACAGATCGTGTAGGCCAGGTGGGTTATGCGGCCCGGGTAGCTCCACCGACGCTAGGTCACGAAGCCCACGTGGCTTATGCAGCCCGGGTACGTCCCCCCTAGCACGCGTAGGGCGTAGGGCGTAGGGCTTAGGCCAGGTGGGTTATGCGGCCCGGATATGTCCCGCGTGGTTCGGTAGACGACGCACGGCAGGTGGATTGATCTGCATTTTAAATTAAGAGTTTTTTGTTTTGGTAAATTGCGAAATGCCCCTCCGACTTCCATTTATTGTGGTGTGCCCTCCGACGGCCGACCTACCCTGTCGTGCCCCTGGCGCCTCTGAAGTTTCCTCAGGCCCCTGTCAGTGAGAGGTGCAACTTTCCAGCATGCCCCTGTGGTCGTTGGTGACACTCGCGGACGTTCACCTGGCCCTGGGTGGGGAGCTACGGGCGCATACTGGAAATTTGGAACCGGTACCTGTAGGGGCATATTAAACACATTTCAGGCCCAAGCGATGCCAGGGGTCGTGCCAGGGGTGGCGACAGGGTAAGTCGGCCATCAGAGGGACATACCACAGAAAAATGGAAGTCGGAGGGACATTTCGGATATTTACCCTTCTTTTTCTCTCTTTTTTTTTC